AAGAATTAAATTAAAGACTTCCTAGAATTCAACAAAAATGAAAGCAAAACATACCCAAACTTATGGGACACTTTAAAAGCAGTGCTAAGAGGAAAGTTCATAGCACTAAGTGCCTATATAAAAAAAACATGGAGAAATCTCACACTAGCAACTTAACAGCACACCTGAAAGCTCTAAAACAAAGAAGCAAACTTACCCAGGAGGAGTACATGCCAGGAAATAACAAAACTGAGGACTGAAATCAATAATTCACAGACCTCAAAAGAACAATACTCAACTTCATATGGAAAAACAAAAAACCCAAAATAATTCTGTATAATAAAGAAACTTTCAGAGAAATCACCATACCTGACTTCAAGCTCTATTATAGAGCTATAGTAATAAAACAGCTTGGTGTTGAAATAAAAACAGACATGTGGATCAATGGAATAGAATTGAATATCCTGAAATTAATCCATACACCTATGAACATCTGATTTTTGAAAAAGAAGCCAAAATTGTGCAATGGAACAAAGAAAACATCTCCAACAAATGTTGCTGGCATAACTAGATGTCAACTTGTAGAAAATGCAAAAAGACCCATATCTATCATCATGTACAAAACTCAAGGCCAAATGGATCAAAGACCTCAACATAAATCCAGCTACACTGAACCTGATAGAAGAGAAAGTGGGAAGTAGCCTTGAACTCATTGGCACAGGAGAAATCTTCCAAAATAAAATGCCAGTAGCATGGACACTGAGGGCAACAATCAATAAAAAGGACCTCTTGAATCTGAGAAGCTTCTATAAGGTAAAGGATATGGTCAATAAGACAAAACAGCAGCCTACAGAATGGGAAAAGATCTTCACCAACCCCACATCGCACAGAAGTCTGATCTCTAAAACATAAATAACTCAAGAAACTAGACACAAAAGTGCCAAATAATCCAATTTAAAGTGGGGTGCAGATCTAAACAGAATTCTCAACAGAAGAAATTCAAATGGCTCTACATCATTAGCCATCATGGAAATGCAAATCAAAACGTTTCTGAGATACCATCTCACACCTATCAAAATGGCTAAGAATAAAAACACTGATGAAAGTTTATGCAAGAGAGGATGTGGAGTAAGGGGAACACTCCTCCGTTGCTGGTGAGAGAGTACACACTTGTACAGCCAGTTTCAAAATCAGTATGACAGTTTCTAAGAAAATTGGGAATCAATCTATCTCAAGACCCAGCAATACCACTCTTGGGCGTATACCCAAAGAATGCACAATCATACTGCAAGGATGTTTGCTCAACTGTGTTGATAGCAGATTTGTAATAGCCAGAACCTGGAAACAACCTAGATGCCTCTCAAGCAAAGAATTGATAAAGAAAATGCAGTATATTTACACAGTGAAGTATTACTCAGTGGTAAAAAAAAAAATAACATCTTGGAATTTGCAGGCAAATGGATGGAACTAGAAAAAAGGACATCCTGAGGGAAGTAACCAAGAAAAAACCCCTGTGCTCCTCACTGCAGACAAAGTCAGGAGAACAAGCAGACCCTCTCCAGATGGCTTCTCAGTGCTCAGTGTGGCTTCCTCACTTCAGGGTCATATATATTGACATCTATAACATGCTACATTACATGTACAGCCCTCCCAGGAAGCCAACTCAAACCATGTGAGAGTGATAGAAAGGTAGAAGGGAGGCACATTTCCTCAAGAGCTTTCCATGTCAAACTAAATACTAAAATAGATTAAATACTAAAACGGATTAAATAATGTCGAATTCTAAATCTATAAAAGTTGCTATTAAATAGATAAAAATATAAACATTTTCACATGTGCAAAAATCCAGACATTTTTTCAAATAGACAGTAAGGAAGAAAAATCCAAGGGCTTTTTTTTCTTTCAAATAGGCAGTAAGTAAGAGCAAATAAATATCTAAGCTATGATAAAATAATTATTTGCTGTTGAAACACAGTAATAATCTGTGAGGAGGCATCATGTAGAAGATAATTTTGCTTTGGGAGCAGAAAACAAATGCATCAATGCAATTTTCAGCTCTTTATTATGAGAAATTTGCAGGCATACATAAAAGCAAATAGAATATTGTAACAGAGCTTACTCAAGACAGCATGCATTGCAGTAATTTTGCTTTTTGCATTCTTCCTGACTTATACAATAATACCCACATATAAAAAACTGGCTACTGTTGAATACTTCATTATAAATCTCTAAACTTCTTTATATAACCACAATACCACCTGATGATGTAATCACATAATAATGTAATCACAATTTGTTAGTGTCATTTCTTGATACAATTTAATATTAATCTATATTCAAATTACTCTAGGAAGACATGGGCCATATTCAAACTATTCTATGGAGTAATGGAAAAAATAATGACAAGTATATGAGTTAGACAATAAAATTATGAGATATTTTCAATAATATAATGACTGTAGATAATAATAACATACAAAATATCAAAAATCATAAAAAGAACAGATTCAGTACAAAAACATCATAAGTATGTGAGGTGATATTTGCCTGGTGTAATAATTCCTGAATATATTCATATTATTAGAACTCAGGGAGTGACAGGTTTAAGAAGAGAGCTGAAATAAAGTCACCCTTCAGACATGAACTACATTAGCAGAGAAGGCAAGGGAGTCTTGCTTCCCTTTAAAACCTGAAGAGGCATTTTACTAAGAGGGCCAGCTTATACTAACAGAGAGATACCCTGGAGAGCACAACAAGGGACAAGGCTCCATGTAAACCACCCAAACAAAAGAGATATCCTGGCTTTCCTATGTTTTGGAGGACAGATGGGAAGTTTCATTCCATTTCAACATAGCCTATGTGCTAAGTACCCAGTAGAACCATAAACCTCTCTGGCAGCTTTGTGGGTGAGGGAATATGAGGCCACAGACTTCTTAACTGTTACAGAGAGAAGAGATGCAGGGAAGAGGCAGGGAGGGGTGCTGTGGGCAGGCCTCAGGCCACACAGTCTTTTTTGTAACTTAATTTTATTTAAATTAGAAACAAGATTGTTTTACATGTCAATCCTAGTTCTCTCTCCCTGCCCTCCTCCCCTGACCCCACCAATCCCCCTATCTCAACCCCTTTCTGCTCCCCAGGAAGGGTGAGGCTTTCCATGGGGGATCGTCAAAGTCTGTCATATCATTTGGAGATGAGCAAAGGGGTCAAGACCAGGCTGGAGAAACACACAGAAACAGCTGACCTGAACAAGGGTTGCTCATGGACCCCAGACTGATAGCTGGGAAACCAGCATAGAACTTTTCCAGACTCCCTGAAGGAGGATGTCAGTTTGGAGGTCTGGATAATCTATGGGACCACTGGTAGTGGATCAGTATTTACCCCTAGTACACAATTGAACTTTGGGAGCCCTCTCCACATAGAGGGATACTCTCTCAGCCTACACACAGTCTTTTTAAACTATCTGTTGCAGAGACATGGGAGGATGGAGGGAAAGAGTGTGGAGAGGTGCAGTGGGCATCAGACTGGGGACTTGGTCTCTTTGAGTGAATAGAGTCTTAAAGTGACAGGCTATGATCTAACATATACATTCAAACATTGCCCTAATATGTCACTGTTATCAGTGAAAAATAAAAATTTAACTTTTTTCCACCTCCTAATTCATTTTTACAGTGACTCTGTTCAGATCAGAGAATTTTTAAGTCTCATATAGTCCTGCCTTTCCAGCCTAACCTAGTGGTACCCATGCAATTAATTACTGAAGTTCTAGAACAGTTGACCTGCAGAATAACCTGCAGTTTGTACTTATGGTGACAACAAAATTGCTCTCCTGCCACAATGCTAGTAAATGATCAAAGGCTTGATTAGGCTAAAGGTCAATATGCTGTAAGGACTGGCTATTAGTAGCATCATCAATATCCAAACCTTCTTCCATGAAGTCCACCATGTCAAACTGCCCCTTTTTACAGAGTGGTGTGTCTAGGCAGTGGCAATATGATCCCTCCATGGCAAAGTGATATTCCTCCTCTCCTGCCCCTTCCACACCATAGTATTTTGTACTTTGGTAAAAACTACTTTTGTGTCAAAGAGGAACAGAAAGTAGAAATAAACAAAACGGGAACACTATATATCAGAAGCAAACAAACAACAAAAAATAAGCCAACAACAACAACAAAAAAAAACAGGAAGACAGGAGCACGAATTAATTTAACTTAAAGTATATAAAAATCAACAAGTGAATTTTAAAAGATTTGACCAGTAAGTGAAGCAAAAGTCACCACTTGCCAAGATAAATAAGATAAGGAAATATTTAGGTAAGTCAGACTGAGAGAAAACAGATAAAACAGAATCTATGTGAAAATAAAATATGAAGAAAATAGTTCTAGAAAACAAGTGAAATTCTGAAGATATATACATGATGAGATTCAAAAGAAACTTGAGCATCCTTGTTCACCAATGCAAGAATCTCATCTGTTCAAGCCTAATGAACACACAGAAATAATGATGAATGAACGTAGCTTACCAGACAAGAAGAAGGGAAGAGGAAAGCATTATGACACCGTAGAGGACATCACTGTGAAAAAAAACCACAGCTAACTCTGACGAGGCAAGAGTTATATGCCAGACACTGCTCTAAAGGTCTTGTTTACATTAAGTCACTCAGCTTCAATAAATGCCACAAAGAAACTTGATTAAATTTAATTGTATTCCTATTTTTTAAAATAGTAATATATACCTAGAATAAAGAGAAGCATCCCACTTTTTTAAAAAGCTATCTACTGGTGATCTACAGCAAGCATTATGCTTAATAGTGGACTGGAATGCTCATTCAAGCATCAGAAATCCTACTTGAAACAGTTTAAACAGAATGTACTCCTAGAAAGAAGCTGGCAGTTTTAGAGAATCCATCTGGATTAGAAATGCCTGGATCAAATGAACCAGTGTTTATCAGTTTGCAAGAATATCACAATTTCTGAATACTGATGTATTCCAACATATATACTAAAATTTAATTTACACGATTTCCAACTACATACAAATTTGTCAGAAAACCTAAGATGCATGTGTGGTCTGATCTTTTGTCTCATTTTCTTCCAACTGAATTAGAATAAATGTGAATATATGGGTGACAGGAAAATACTGTCCTCCAATCCTACCCTTACCCTCCAATTCCTAACATGTTATAATCCTCACATCAACCACCCTCTTCTCTAACCCACTTCCTGCCTGCTCCCTGGGCATGGTCACACCCTTTTCTTAGAGTTTGCTTCTGGACTGAGTGAGGTGTTGCCTGAAGAACTTCTGTATCTCTCTCCATGAGTGTTCCTGGGCTGCTGCGTGAGCAATGGGATCTCCTCCCCAAAGCAAGGGGTTAGGCATGCCAAAGGTCCAGGATGCAAAGCAACAGGGAGAATAGGGAGGCTCTATGAGGTGGCCTGCCCCGGGATATGCCAGCATTCTTCCACTGCTTCTCCCATGGCTGTGGAGCTGGTCCATGGCCCTCTGTGCACATGCCTTGCTATCCAGGGATTCATCATTCTCTCCTACAATGAAGAGGATCCATCCTTGGGCTTTTTCCACAGGAAGTATACTGTGTAGGTTCAGCTTATTCCAGGGATCATCTATAAAGGAACGGAAACGCACAGCCCCTGAGGCATGGACTTGGATACGCTCCCGAGCCCGTGGGATGGCTGTCACAACCAGATCCCGATATCTTAGAGGAAAGTCTAAGATGGCACTGGACCCATTGATGCAGACAGTGGCAACCACCTGCTTCAGATAGCAGGCCATGGCCAGCCCGATCTCTGCACCTTTGCTCGTGGAGATCACACCAATTCCTGGTTGTTGGATCTTGAACACAAAGCAAAAGGAAACCAGTTTACATGCTGTCCTCTGGGAAGAAGTCTCTAAATAAAGGTCAGACAGTCAAAACAGTCAAACTCTAGTACTCCAGATTCTCCAGCTTGTGAGAGCTAGACCTACGACCTATTTAATAATACCTTCTCTGAGCTTTAACATCTTGTGGAAGCAACTGGATCACCCACCTTGGAACAATCAAAATAAAACCTCTGCAAAAGTAGAGTTCTGGAGTTAGGGGTGGTGGCACAGTTCTGTAATCCCAACATCAGGGAAACTGAGGCAAGAGATTTTGAGTTCCAGTTCAGCCTAGGCTACATAGGGAGACTATGTCTTTTTTAAAATAAATTTTTATTTAAATTGAAAGCAATCCTATTTTACACACCAATCCCAGTTCCTTCTCCCCTCCCCTCATCCAGGGAGAGCCTGTATTAAGATAACCATTTTCAAGTATAGTTCTAAAAATGCAATTTGAATCAAGCTACATTGAACCTGACAAGAACAGAGGCAGTTAGTCTTTCTGAAAGATCATATTCTTGACTTTGCTAGAAAAAGATGTGTGCAGCTGAGAAAACAACTTAGTGGTAGAGTACTTGCTATCCAAGCATGGGGACCCACATTTATTCACCAGGACCCATGTTTAAAAGGCAGGCAGAGGTCATGACTGTTGTAATATCAAACAATAGGGAGGCAGAGACATGCAAACCCCAGGGTCTCACTGGCCAGCCAGCCTTGTCTACTTCGTCAGTAACAGGCCACTGAGAAGCCCTGCCTTAAAAATGAGGAGGATGTTGAAAAAGGAAGGGCATCAAATTTGACTTCTGTCCTCCATGGCCAGACACATGCACCCAATACACACATACACACACACACACACACACACACACACACACACACACACACAGATGCGCGCACATGCACAAACACTCACGCATGTGCATACATGCACACACAGGTGGATAGTATGTTTGCTACATTCTTTCACATATTCTATAAATAAAATTCCTATGTAAATATTAGTGTACAGCTACAAGTGTTTACACATATTACAGACCCCATTAATCTAAGAGTTAACACTGAAAAAGCATTGAGAATAGACATATAAAAGGCTTCTTCTCAGTAGACGCCTGAAATATCCAGTCCCACAGAATAAGGCTGAGGGTCTCAAAAGGAAGGCTATCTCTCAGTCTGGTGGACTGAAATTGCAGACAGACGCAATTTGACAGGTGAGTGATGACAGAGAGAGCATTGTGGACAGACAGTAGCAATAGAAAATACTCTCCTCTCCTTGAGAACTCAGGCTGTCCTGGTGCATAGTTAGTGTGAACAGAATGCTAGAGCTGGGGAGTCAAAAATCACTTGATAGTTCTGGCAAAGACACTGCCAGACTGTCACTTTCTGGAATTGTAGTTTTGATGCATTCATCTAATTAAGCTTTCTCAAGAAGGAGGAGGAGGAGAAGAAAGGAAGGAAGGAAGGAAGGAAGGAAGGAAGGAAGGAAGAAAGGAAGGAAGGAAGGAAGGAAGGAAGGAAGCACTGCTGTCACATATGGAATAGCCTTCATCTGAAAAGCTCGGGGCCTGAGAGTTGCAGGTCTGGAGTTTTCAGACTTTGAAGTATTTGCACAGACTCTATGTGCAGATAAACTTCACTGTGGAAATCTGAAATACACATAGTAGTCCAAAATAACTTTGAGCATTGTGTTGATGCTCAAACATTGTAAGTTTCAGATTTAGATTTTTGAGTTTGGAATATGCAACCTTTGGTATTTATGCTATGAAGCTACTGTGGATGTTGGATGGGATGGTGCATATCAAATATTGCTTGTGAGTGTAGTGCTTAATAAACACTGAGCAACTATGTTCATAGCAACATTATTCATAATAGCCAGAACCTGGAAACAACCTAGATGCCCTACAACCGAAGAATGAATAAAGAAAATGTGGCATATTTACACAATGGAGTTCTACTCAGTTGTAAAAAAAAAAAAAAGAAAGAAAAGAAAAAGAAAGAAAAAAACTAATGGCCTCATGAAATTGGCAGGCAAACGGATGGAACTAGAAAAAAATCATTCTGAATGAGGTAACCTAGACCCAGAAAGACAAACATGATATGTACTCATTCACAGGTGGTTTATTAGAAGTAAAGTATAGGATAACCAATCTACAATCCACAGCCCCAGAGAAGCTAGATAACAAGGAGAGCCCAAAGAGGGATGCATGGATTTCCCTGGGAAGGGGAAGTAGAAAAGATCTCCTGGGTAAACTGGGGGCAGGGGCTGGGGGGAGTGGAGGAATGGGAACTAGAGGGAGCAGGTTAGGAAGGCTAGGTGCAGGAGGCAGGATGGAGGGGAAGAGTAACAAAAGAGATGTCATGTGGGTCATTTTGGGGAGAAGCTTGGTGCCAGAGAAACCACAGAACCCACAAAGATAACTCCAACTAAGATGCCTAGCAATGGTGAAGAGGGTGCAGGAACTGGCCATCTACTGTAAGCAGATTTTATTGATTCCCTAATTGCCATCAGAGATTCTCTTACCAGTGACTGATGGAAACAGAGGCAAAGATCCACAGAAATGGACTGTGCTGAGCTCTTAGAGTCTTATGGGAAAAAAGGAGGAGGGATTGTACGAGCTAGGAGGTTCATGATGGGAAAACCCACAGACAACTGACCTGAACTCTGGGAAGCTCATGGATGCTGGGCCAATAGTTAGGGGGTCTGAATGGGACTGACCTAGGCCCTCTGCTTGTGTTTGACAGTCCTGTAGCTTGGTTTTACTAAGACTTCTAACAGTGATAGCAAGACCTCTCACTGGTGCTTAGTTGGCTTTTGGTAACCTATTTCCCATGCTGGATTACCTGGCTCAGTCCTGCCTCAACTTGATGTGCCATGATTTGTGCAAGGCCAAGGGAGGCCTGTCCCTTTCTGAATGAAGAGGGAGGAGTGGATGGGGCAGGGGGAAAGGATGGGGGGAGAGGAGGGAGTGGAAACTGGTTAGTTGATGGGGGATATCTTCAGTATTAGTTGGTGAATAAATGCTGATTTGCCATTAGCCAAACAGGAAATATAAGTGAAGCTACCAGACTAGGAATACTGGAGAGAGGAAGGCAGAGAGGTACTCTGAAGGAGTAATAAGTCTGGGCACTCTCTGGTAAGCCAAAACTAAGTTAGATTAATAGAAATGGGCTAGTAGTTATGAGAGAGTTAGTTTACAGTGTGTTTAAAAATATATGTAGGCTTGGGAGAGAAAAGAAAAAAGATAAAGTAGTTAAAAAAAATAGAGTAGCTGGGTATGTTGGTACATGCCTTTAATCCCAGCACTTGGGAGGCAGAGGCAGGTGAATCTCTGTGATTTCAAGGCAAGCCTGGTCTACAGTGTGAGTTCTAGGACAGCAAAGATACACAGAGAAACCCTGTCTCAAAAAACTGAAAAATAAAAAGAAATAGAGGGTTTGTTTTTGAAAACTATGTAAAGATGGAAATACACAGAGAGTCTGGATATCATATGTCATTGTGTTGTCTTTGAATTGCTTGACTTCTGAGGAAGGAGTAACAGTTGCTAAAAAACATTTGATTATAAATGTTGCTGATTAATCCAACCTATATATTTTTCAAATGTCTGGACTTCAAAATTTAAGCTTAAAAACATGTTACTTTGCAGGAAAGGAGAGAAAGCTGTGATTGACAGGTGAAGCAAACTTGTTACTAATTTAAAAAAAATAATGAATAAAAAACATGTTACTTTGGAAAAGAAATTCTCTTTTTGTTTCCACAGAAGATGAAAAACTGTGTATTCCTTCCAGAGTAATATGGTTTGATCAAGCAAGACCCCCTGAAGCAGTGGCCTACATGATCCATCATCCAAAACAGCTGAGACTATGAAGCCTTAGACTACTACAGCCAGGATTTGGCCAGGTTTTGGGTTTTCTAAGGATCCCCTTGGGAATGACAGTGTTCCCCAAACAGCAGGAAGCAGTTCTGAGAGAACTCCACATTCCCAAATATTGTTTATAAATGTTTGTTTTCTTTTAAATAGGGTTGATTATAAATGGTTAATGATCGCAGTAAATCTCTTTCCCAAAAAAAATAAATAAAAGGAAATTTGATATAGAAATGAATACTTTGCATTTGTATGGATTTTGGTTTATTGATACAAATTTAAAGTCAATTTTGTTATATGTATATTTCTATTCTTGTTTAGGTATTGTGTTTATACAGCTATTTTAAAATGTAATGTATAATTTAAAAATATGGATTATAGATAGTAACCTATAATAGTCAAAACTTATAGTTATGTTAGTTAGGTTTTCTAGATATACAGAGATATATTTCAAATTGATAAGTATTCTTCAAAACATTTCAAGGACCTACAGAATATGGCATTTAAAATGGTTTGTTAGGGTTTTCCATGACAATGAGTCACAACTGCTCCTGAAAACACCAATTATGTCACAGAGGAAGATGGGCATTGAAGAAACTCATTGTGGAGTTTGCCTTCAATGTGGCAAACTGGTCTATCGAAGAAGAAGAAACAGCTCTTGTCTGGACTGCTGGACAATATACTATATAAACTGGACATGCAGAACCCATAGGAAAGTGACTGTTGAACTTGCCAAAACAAGATGGGGCAGTCCTTCAGGGTTCCTCCTTCATGGAAAAGTCAGTCAGACATTCTGCACACAGAGAAATGACTGACAAACTGCCAATACAGATAGGACAGTTTTAAATTTCCTGCTTCCCTGAGAAGTTTGGGTGACTGTCCAGGCAGCAAGATGCCTTTGTCATTTCTAGAGTTTATATATTGTCCTTCTGAGGTCTTAGATGGAATTGAAGACAGATAGTTATGGTTATGGTTTTCATTAGCTGTAATTAAAAAATAAGTTACCTATAAAACTTTAGACTCACAAAGATAGCATAGATGATAGAATATTTTCATTAAATGTTGCCCAATGTTAGTGGACTTAACTATAGCTCTTGCTTGATAACTGTTCTGATATATATAATCTTACTATGTTAAAGTTAAAACCTTTCTATTTATTTAGACTGAAAAGAGAAGATGATGGGGGATGTCCTTCTGTATTGGTTGGTGAATAAATGCCGATTGGCCAGTAGCCAGGCAGGAAGTATAGGTGGGGCTACCAGACTAAGAATGCTGGCAAGAGGGAGAAAGAGAGGAGCAGCTAGGGAGACTCCATGTAGCTGCCAAGGAGTAACAGGTCCAGCAAAGTCCATGTGGAAATACTTAGATTAATAGAAATAGGTTAATAAATAAGAAAGAGCTAACCAATAAGAAGCCTGAGCCATGGGCCAATCAGTTTATAATTAATATAAGCATCTGTGTGATTATTTGGGACTAAATGGCTGCAGCACCAGAAGGGACAAAACCTCCATCAACAGTTGTTATGTGAAATAAATGAGAAAAATGTTATTTAAATCAAAAGAAGAATAAATAGTCACTGAACAAATGCAAGGGCTGTGCCTTAATTATTTTACCTTTGTTAGCTTGGGCACATGTATCTAATAATAGAGTGAACATTGTTGATCTACAAAATGATAAATAATATGGTTAAATTAACTAGCATTTCAACTCTACCATTTGTGTGTCTCTTCAGTCCCTAGCACAAATATCAATACTTTGGGATCTCTCCAAGTGAACTAAGTCACAATTCAGTTGATATTTACTTCCTAAGAGAATCTAGGTTATGAGGTGTACTCTTAGGTCTTTCTCAAATTTTAATGTCTATAAGAAACACCCATTTTCATGTTAACATGAAAATACTGATTAGAATGGAATTTTGCCTCTCTATCAGATCTCAGGTGATGCTGAGACCACTGGACAATAACCTCCTTTTCATTGCTGCACAGATACTTAACTATGATTTCTAAAAGGACCCTTCCTTTTCAGATCTCTCCTGAGTCTGACTCCCGGCATTGGTTAGTTACTTTATCCACCCACCCCCAGCTATTAAAATAATTGAAAAGCTAATTCAGAAAGTCAGATTATTGGACCAAGTCAGTTTTTTTTTTCCTGGTAATTATGTTGTACCCTTGTATTTCAATTCCAGTTCTGATCTTCTGGATTAGTCTTAGTCTCAGATCCTTTAGTGTTACCTACACTAGCATTATATCATGTAGAGACCATCACTGATATGTGAAAACATATCAAGTTCAGATTTCAGGATCAGTGGCTGATGAACATTGAAGAGTCACTTATAAATATATTGAGAGAGCTACAAATGTAACATGTCTTAGCTTTTTCCCACTGAAGAGAATCACAATATGTGCACCATGTATTTATTGTCTTCTGTGTGCCAGTAAACAGTAATTACTAATCAATTCAACTATCCTGTCACTTTTACAATGTAAGCTGTGCTCTGCCCAAGACTGCAATGATCAGACCAGACATTTGTGGTTTGTTTTTCCTATGATTTTGTGAGCTGAAGCAAGAAGTATTTTAAGTACCTTGGGGTGAGCTAGTAGGAAGTCGGCAGCTTCCTCAAAATATTCCAAGTCAGTCTCCAGCAGTTTGTCAGGCAGGTCTTCATAGGCAAAATATGCTAATGCCAGTACTGCGAAGCCATGGGAAGCCAAAAGACTGGCGCGAAATTCAACTAGACCTCCAACCATCCCGAATAAGTCAAGAATTCCTGGGAAAGGACCTTCTCCTGGGAGAAAAAAGAAACAGGAAATTTGGATCAAAAGAAAGTTAAGTACAGCAATGAAAACAAAGTCAGAATAAATAAATTGCATACACGTACATGCTGGTACATACTCCCACATGCTCACATGCATGCATGTACACACACACACACACACACACACACACACACACACACACACACACACACACATGTCCACGTGAGAATGCACATTTATTTTGTCTGAATTGCTACCTATATCACAGCTTCTGAAACTGTGGATCACAAATCCATATGGGCTGATATAAGTGAATGTGGGAGAAATTTGACAATAAGAAACCATTTGAATATGCAGTGTCCAAAGTTTAATTCAAAATAAAATGAGTAGTGGTCCCAAGGTGTTTCTGCTGATGACAGCCAAACTTCACTTTACCCTGGCTCTGAAGGAACAGCAGGTACACTTCTCGCTGCATGTGTCAGAATAGCAGCAATGACAAATGGCTGCTGCCTCAAATGACAGGGCTCAGATTCAAGTTTATTTGTTGTATATTATGAACCACAATGTTTTTACTTTGCATGCATGTACCAAATTAAAATATTCCTATTGTATAATGTTAGAATGTTTGATTTTTAGAATTGCTCTTTGACTTACTGACTTGAGTTTCATTAAAATCTCATTAAGTGAACTTTGATTTAGGACGCAGGTAGAATTTTGAACAAGTTTTTAAATGGCACTAAATATACTGGCACCATTTGGTACTGCATATTTATGTGAAGCAGATTTCTTAACACTGACAACTATGAAAACCAAAATATCAGACAGTTCTGAAAAACAATGAGGATAGTCTATCTATGCCCTACAATCTCAAATATTCAACCAAAGTTTAATTCTAGGTAAGCCCATTCGTCTCAGCAGTGTGCGAATTTGCTTTCTTCTTTTATAGATGGTAAAATCATGTGCACACCAAAGAACTGTTTTAAAATCATTTTCTTTTTTAAAGAATTTTTATTTATTATGTATACAACTATATATATATATATGCACACCAGAAAAGGGCACCAGATCTCATAACGGATGGTTGTGAGCCACCATGTGGTTGCTGGGGATTGAACTCAGGACCTCTGCAAGAGCAGTCAGTATTCTTAACCTCTGAGCCATCTCTCCAGCCCCTAAAATCATTTCCTAGGCTTTATCATCAGTAACTGTTTTCTACACCTATTTTATATATTTATATACCCAGGATCGTGTTAAAATTCCTGCAGTAAAAAGAGGTCACAAATAGAAAAAATTATGTTCTGTGTCAACAGAGATTATTCTCACCTGGAGGGAGAAAAAGGGCTCCACGAACCCGACCTTCTCGGATCTGTTTCCGCTGAACCCCAGGGCCAGCAAACCAGCGCTGCACTATCTGGCTGGCCTTGGGTTTAATTGTGGCTGAGTCTTGCAAACAAACATAGTCATACAGGTCCAGAGTGATAAGAAAGGGGGTATTCATCACATCTTTCTTCAACAGCCTCTGGAAAACCTTCTTGGGCTTCAGAGACCAAAAAAGGCCCATTGGATGGACCCCTACATAGTCACCCCCCAAGGCTGATGCCCGCTCCAGGTCCACCTCGCCAGCCTTGTTGGCCTTGTAAAAGGCTTTGGATTGAAAGAGATTCTCCTTCTCATCCTTCAGTGTTGCCTTGATGGTCACTATCTGCGATGGAGGTAGGCCTGTCGCTCGGATGGACACGGGCTCATCTGCAAGGGCATTTGATGGGGTGGCTATCACCTGAATCATCTGTAAGCTGGTGAGTGGACCCAGTGGTGCTTCTTCACTGTTGTGAGAGAGGAAACTGAGGTGGAGACATGAAGTCCAAGAGAGACCAATCAAGGCTGTCCTCAAGTCTAATTAAATGAAACTCCCAAGGACTTTAGTACAAAATGTGCAGAACTGGGTGGGTAGAGAAGAGACGTGGGGAGGAGAGGCAGTGAGTGTGAACACTGGTAATATGTTACAGTGATGAAACGAGCTAGGTGGTGTGCTGAAATCTGGTGAGTAATAGAGAAACAGAATTCAAACTAGATCTGACCATATAGATTCAGATCTCAGCTATTATAACACTGTAGTTTTGTGGTTTGAAATAAATTGAGCATTAGTGCTATGAAAATTATGCCTACCTTGAGGGTGTTTTAAGGAAGGTAACACATGAGATGAGGCTCCAAAACAGTACATCTCTCCAGCCCTTTCCAGTCTGGATTAATTAGATCATGAATGATTTATTATGGTATTAATATAACTAGGGCCACAGATTCCCCTTGGAAGGTTCTCAGTTTCACTAGTAAAAGGATTTTCAATGGATACATAATGGAACACATGGAGATTTTATTGGAGTCTGGAGGAGGAAGACTGTCCTTGAAATGAGACTGAATATGGAGAGATAGAAAGTTACACTTTTAAAATTACATTTACTTACTGTGTGTGTGTGTGTGTGTGTGTGTGTGTGTGTGTGTGTGTGTGTGTGTATGCTTGCATGTGTGTGCCTGGGTACATATGTGGTCAGAGGACAAACCACTTTAAGTCAGTTTTCTTCTGCCATCTTGTGTGTCCCAGAGACCATACTCAGATTACCAGGCTGGAAGGCAAGAACACTTAACCTGCTGAGTCGTCTTGCTTCCTGGAAAGTTACACTTTCTAATAAAGTAAAATTTAAAATATCTTGGGAAGACAAGTCAGGAACAAAGGAAAAAGAAGAAGGGTACTCCTAGGATCTCTGTCCCTTGTAGGTGGACATTCTTATTCCACAGCTGCCAGCTCCCAGAGTTTTAATATGAATTATAAATGCTTGGCTGATAACTTGTGCTTGTTTCTAACTAACTCCTACACTTAAATTAACCCATATTTCTTATCTAGCCTCTGCCACATGGCTCATGGCTCATTACCTCATCTTCTATACATCCTGCTTCCTAATCATCTTGCCTAGCAACTCCTCACTCTCTCCTTCTTGCTCCCAGCATTCTCATAGTCTGGCTAACCTGCCTAATCTTATTCTGTTCAGCTATTGCCCAGTCAGCTTCTTTATTAAACCAATCACAGTGACATACATTCACACAGTATAAAGGATTAGTCCATGTCAGTCCCTTGCTATTTTAATTGAAGAAGTACATGATTGCCCTCTTCCAAAAATGACCCAGACTTTGAACATGAGATCAATATTCCACCCTGAAGGACTAAGAGAGAAAATATTTACCTAAGTACTGTTTGGTTTATAGTCAAACATAGTCTTTGGACATGAAATCAATTCCACCCTGTAGGATTAACTAAGAGAGAAAATATTTAACTAAGTATTGTTTGGTTTACAGTCAAACATATGAAGCACACCCACTGTGTGTGTCCCACTATTTGAGAGGTATAGGAGGGAGGATCAACACAAGTTCAAGGCCAGTCTGGGCTACATAGCAAGTTCTAAGCTAGGCTGAGTGGTCACATAGTAAGACCTTGGTTTTCTCTCTGTGTCTCTGTCTGTCTGTCTCTTTCTCTCTGTGTGTCTCTGTCTATGTCTCTTTTTGTTTCTGTCTTTCACACACATGTGCATTTGTCCATGTATATATACACAATCTTCTCTTAGTTATGTTTTCTTTTCTCTGAAGAAACACCATGACCATGACAACTCTTATAAAGGAAAACATTTAATTGGGGCTGGCAGTTTCAGAAGCTTAGTCCATTATCTTGGTGGGACATGGTGGCAGGCAGACACGGTGCTGGAGAAAGAGTTAAGAGTTCTACATCTTAATCCACAAGCAACAGGAAGAGAATTGTGTACCACATTGAGCATAACTTGAGTGAAGGAAACCTCAAAGCCCAACCCCACAGTGACACACTTCCTCCAGCAAGCCCACACCTCCTAATAGTACCACTCCCTCTGTGCTTATGAGGGCCAATTACATTTAAACCACCACACTAGTTTAACCTTATATTAACTGAGAGTGTCTAGTGGTATAGAACTCAGACTATGTCTAAGACAACAAGGAATACTAAGTTTATTTATTATTATCAACATGTCTTTTAGCTTTGTGCCAGGAAAGAATAACATTATTTATTGCCATCAATTTTTACCTTTGGTTTTGTTACCTTCAGGCCAGGATGGAACAGCTAATTGTGTTCCCTATCCTCAGTTTACTCTTTGGTTTTGTGGCCCATCAAGAGTCAATGGCTTATGTTTAAATTCACAATTAGTCACAAGTAGTGGGTAGATCTTCATCACTTATTGAAGGGCCTATGGTAGTTTGTGATTGTGTTTGTTTGTTTGGTTGGTTAGTTTTGAGATATGATCTAAAGTGGCTCAGGAAGGTCTCAAACTCACTATGTAGCTGAGACTAGCCTTGAACTCCTGATCATCCAGCCTCTATCATCTCCCCAAAACTGAGTTTATTTTTAATGTAGCAGTGGAAGGGCAATGCTTGACAATGTCACACACACACACACACACACACACACACACACACACACACTTCGTTCCCTTAAAGAAATAGGTCTTGAGGGCTGGAGAGATGGCTCAGCCGTTAAAGGCTAGGCTCACAACCAAAAATAAGAAATAAGTCTTTCTATGTTACCCAGGCTAGGCTTATATCATGAGCTGAAATAATTCTCTTTCCTTGGCTTCTCAGGTAGTCGGATATTACACCTGCCTCTGAAAATCACTTTTTTAACTACAGAGTAACATGTTCTTCTTTACTACTTCGTACTTTTCATTTTCTTCCCCGAGAATTGGGCATCCAGGCTTTTCTTTGCTTCTGCACTGAGAGAGGTTTTTCTACTTATCTCTGTAGACCTTTGTTTTACATTTCCCACAATATAAAATGAAGGACCTCTGTAGAGGAGGCACTTCCTGCTGCAGTTTCTGTGATGCTGCTGCTGAATAAGGTTTCATACAGCACCAAAGTCATGGGCACTTCCTTGTGGACAAGCTCACTTGTCTTCCCCTTATGGACCTGGTAACTCCTGTGAGAATAGCTAGGATGATCACCTACCCGATAGCCCCTTTTCGTTTGACTATCCAATCCACTGGGAGCTGGAACAAGAAACTGAGCAACTGTTTCTCCCCTGAAGCAGCACCACTGGATGATCTGGGCAGTTGCTCTGTTTCAATAGAGGACATTAGATCTTCTTTTGGCTCCTTGGATTGCAGGACACGTATGTGTCAGCCAGATTTATATCTTTCTAACTAGAGAATAGGATTGATTGTTGGTTTAATATTTTTCTTGAATTCTGAGAATCAAGTATTTGAGCTACAGAACTACAAGACATACAGTTTTCTAATTTTACTGTTTTTGATAATGCCCTGAAAAAATGTCTAATGACATACTAAACATCAATTGCACAGTATATCTACTGGAAAGTTTACATTTCAAGCTGTTCTGACTACAGCTCTTAATGAATATGGAACAAATTTACTGGAAGAAAAAGCAGTGCTCCCTTTATTTTAGCCTTTGGTCTACCCCAGAACACTGCTCAATGCCTGTTCTTTTTCATCTTTATTTGACTTATAATGTTGACTCTTTGCTAATCTTTCATTAAAAGCACCTAAAGTTACCCTCTGCAGAATTTGTTCTATTTTCTTACCTCCCAAAGAAGGTTTTAGAATCATCATACAAATGAGTTATTTGAATTTTTCTTTTACACCCACTGCTAATCAAATGGGTAATAGTGGTATTAATCTACTACCTAGAACAATATTTGCCTTTTAAAATCTAACATTTAGCAACAGATTTTTTCTACTTCTTCATTTGTTTTGTATGTATGTGTGAGCCTGAATGTATGCATGTACATATGTGTTCATGTGTGGGAAACTGCACATATGTATACCAGAAGACAATCTTGTTCGTTATCTTCATGATAAGCCATCAGCCTTCTTTAAGACAGACTCTCTCATTGGTCTGAAGCTCACCAGTCATGACTGGCTGGCCAGTGAGCCTCAGGGATCCTCCTGTCTCTACCTTCTCAGTGTTGAGATTACAGACATGTACCACCACGGCCTGCATTTTTATATGAGTTCTGGGATAAGTGCTTTACCAGTTATTCCTGTATCCCTTTGTGTATTAAAAACTGCAATTATGACATTTAATGTGGTTCTGAATCCGGATTTTAATTTAACTCAATACTTGTAACTTTGCTAATTTTGAATGTAACCATTCCTATCCTGATGAAGCTCTAAAGAAAGAGTTATCTCTTAGAAGGCTATACACATAAATATAAAAGGAAAGAAATGCAAGGTAACAGACTATATTCTGGAAGTGTCTATCTTAGAGCTATAGCTGTTGTGTCTCAGCTATTGAGTGTTGATATTTTACCTTTTAATTTTTCTGGAGACCTTTTTAAATACTCTATTGATTCTGACTTTCCAGAAAATACATGTAGTGGCCAGTGTTATCTTAAGGCCAAGTTTCTACCATTACACAGAGGTAAGTGAAAAGACTTAAATTATAGTGAAATTTTATATGTAGGAGTTTTCCTAAAGGGAATAGTATGGTTTTGACATAAGCAAACCTATGAAATAGAGAAGGGCGTGTTGATCAGCCAACTGAGTATTCAGATGAATGGTGTCTCAGGTTTCCCAACCAACAAAGAGTGCAAAGGACCACATAACAAGGAACCTTAGAGTCATACCACCTGGAAAGTGAGCTAAACAAAGGCACTTTCACAGGTGGGTCAGGCATAGTGTGTGTCTGTAAAGATGTGGTAGGGATTCCAAAGATCTACACTTTGTCTTTTTACAAATGGTTATCAGTTGGCAGATCTAACCATAATTAGACCCATTTATTGTTTGTTCCTTATGTAACACTCCCTTAGAGACCCAATAGACACACAAAAATATCCAGGATTAAAATGCAAACACACACACACACACACACACACACACACACACACGCACGCA